GAAACAAACTTTAGAAGTAAATACTAAAGATTATAGAACAAATAAAATATCTAATGACTAAAAAATACAAAATATCAAAGAAGATCTGCTTCTTATAACAGGTAAATAATATTAGCAAAGCCTTAGCTAAACATACTAAGAAACAGAGACACAATATCAAATGAATAAACTCAGAGATGAAAAAGGAGGCATTTCAAGAAACACCATGACAATTCAAAAGATCATTAGAGATTATGTGAGCAAATGTATAGCAAAATTTATTAATTGAGATGAAATGGATAAATTAGGATCTTATGAAGGCTGAATCATAAGGACTTTATAATCTTAGTACAAAAATAATGAGGAGCAACGTAGAAACCATAGTCAAATCTCCCATAAGAGAGAATTTAGGAGTAGAACACTTCTCAGAGGTTTGCCAAAAACTTAAAGGGGATCTAGTACCATTTCTTAGTAAACTATTTCAAAAAAATTAAAGAAAGGAAATTCTTCAACATTCATTCTACAAATCGAGTTTTATTTGCATACCAAAGCCAGGTGAGAAGGTATCTAAAAGAGAAAATTTCAAGCCAATATCCTTGATGAATATAAGCACAAAGATCATGAAAAATACCTTAGTAAACCAGTTTCAGCAGCACATTAAAACTTTTATTCATTATATTCAAAGGATTTTTCTGAGGGGTACAAACTTGACTCAACATACATAAAGCAATGAGCAGAATAATAAATCAATACCACACAAAGGGAAGGAAAATACACATATGTTTATCTCAATAGGTGCAGAAAATATGTTTGATAAAATTGAACACTGCTTCATTACAAAAATGCTTACACCCCCAGTGCCCCGGAAGCCACGCGGCAGGGTGTGCAGGCATTTGGGTCGGCCCTTTGCCACACAGGCATCCGGGAGGCAGGCCCCAGGTGCCTCAGAAGCTGCACGGCAGCTCGCGCTGGTGAGTGCCGGCCTTCAACACAGCCACAACCATGTTGTCCCAAACTATCATGGCACAGAAAAGTAAGGACACAATTGGCCTGCCACGCATCTGCTGCAGTGGCCAGCTCACTGATGTGCTTGAATCATTCCGACATAGAGAAACCCCTGGGAATTCATGGAGCACAACAGGTCACTTTTGCCCCAGCCGTTGAGAACCAGAAAGGTCCAGAGTCAGCGGAGGAGCAGCTGCTGAACAAGGACTCAGAAAACATGAGAATACAGACTACGCCCAAAGACTCAGAGATCTAGTTGACCAGGGTCACGAGAGCCATTCAGAAGTGGGAAACCAGGAGGACCTTGCACAATACCTGGTGAGACCCGCTGGAAGCCATTCTTCCCCTGACAGTACAGGCTGTGGTGGAGAAGCCATGGAGCTCTAGAGAGGTCCACACCAAGATTCCTGATGCCTGTACTGATAGCTGGGGAGAGGACACTAAGTGGCTGTGAAGTCCCAATGCAATGGGAGGCTGGAGATGAAAAGCTACAAAAAATGGCTTTCACCCCAGATGGCTCCTTGAGATGTTAGTAAGAATTGCCTCCTTAGTATTCTATAGCCATGACGAGGAGGAGGCCAAGCAGAGAAAACAAAGGGACCAAGAAAAAGCAGCTGCTTTGGCTGCAGCACTAAGAGAAACAGACCCTAAGTATGATTCTCAGGGCCCCAAGAAGAACT